TTGTTTGGACATACAGGGCACTATCGCCACCTATTGGACTGGAGGGTAAAATATGAACCCTATAGTTGAAAACCGGCCTGTTGACCTAAAGTAGCATAACCAAAACCATGTTTGTGTGTCAGGTAAATTCAAACAGTTTAAAGTCTAAAACTTTAGTCCATTTAAACTTTTTTAAATGTTTTTTTGAACCCAGTTTCTTCATAAATCCTTTAGGAGTATAGAAATTTGGAAAGCATAAAAGAAAAAATCAACTAAAGATCAAATTAGCTGCTTGACTCATTGAATTTTGGGTTAAAGATTAATGTTCCTTTAATTTTAAAACTGTGAGCATTCTGGTTTTCATTGGTCTGTATGAGCCGGTCACTACGATTTAGATGTATGTAAACAGTAATGCAAAAAGCAAAAGACTTGGCCAAAATCCCATCTCAGCGCTGTTTATCCCTCTGCCTCTTATCTGTAAGTGAATGGGGGTGGGGGCCTCATTGAACGACTGTCAGAAATCCAGTCCATGTCATTTGTCATGTCTCCCCAAGGCTTTATGACAGCATACAAAGCTGGAAGCTGCAGGTCGAGCTACTGAGCCACCCATCTAGTCCCCGCAGATGTGTTTACTGCTATTCGCTGCCATTGACCATCAGGCTGGACAGCTGAGCACCAGAATATCAATAGGTTTCAGACTCAGCCGGGCCCCTGGGACTATCTACCAAGCAAACAGAACAGTCCCAGCTCCATTTGGAAGACATGGATTCATCGCCACAAGGGGCACCAATGAAAACATGATGGAAAGATGCTTGGTAGCAAAAGAAAGAAGTGTCAATTTGAATTAATCCAGATTGAGATTGGGAAGCCTTACACCTGAGGCAATTATGTTTGGTTTGGGCTGCTCAAAGGAGCCATATGAGTCCATTGAAGTCACGTGTTGTCTGCGCGAAGCAAAGGAGAGAAAAGCAGTAATCCTTTTGTGTTCATCATCTGGACTAAGACTTGTTTTCATGTGGGGAAAAGGAAGAGGAACAGACTGACTGCTTCTCTTTTTTTTTTGCGTCATGTGAAACAAAGTTTATCCCGAGTCCATGACGAGGCCTCTTTTTAAAGAATCAGGTGGTCTTTGGAAGCAGTAACTCCGATGGCGATAAGACCTTTATCTAAAACTGGGGTAGACTACATCTGCTTTAACTGGCGCTGGAGCTTCCTCCTCTTTTCTCAGACAGTCGATGTATTGACATTTCTTTGCTCGGCTTGTTTTTGCCCTGTGGCTGCTGATATTGGTTATAGAATAAGGACACTGTCCAGATAGACAGACTCATAATGGAATGAGGAGATAAACTGTGGAGGCATGTTAATCAACATGAAGAAGTTCAAGTTACTCTGTCGGATGAGAATAATTGGACTTAAGTGAGCTGTAACGTGCTGAAAGTTGCCAGACCTTTGAATTGAAAACTCACTAACACTTTACAATAAGGTACACAAAATCTGATTAACTACTAGGGAACACCTCGGGAACGAATCAAGAACTAATGGGTAGTTAACTATTACTTACTGTGGAACACGACACAGCCAAGCCTTATTAGAGGACTACTTGCTAGTTATCTTGTAAATGAAGAGGAACTAATCAAGAATTAATGGGTAGTTAACCAGTACTTACTGGGGAACACACAGCCAAGCCTTATTAGGGGACTACTGGTTTGTTACCACAGAAACAGAGGAGAAATTCTCCATTTGGGTTCAGAATAAATCCTGCACCAGTGAGGTCACAGCTTGTAATTGTCAAAAATTTGTTTCCTAGTGATGACTGGTTTTATTGGATTTTCTCTTTTGTAAACATATTGATGAAAGACTATCAATTTCATAATCTTATACTGGTGTCATCTTAACTATGTCTGACTATCACTTACTGAGTACCAAACTATTGCCTGGCTATTGTTTTGTTCACTGATGTAGTGAAGCATCATACCAAGCACTTACTGAGGAACCAATCATTATTTAATCACTACCTGACCATTACCTACTGGTTTGTTCCTGTGGTAACAAACCAGTAGTCCTCTAATAAGGCTTGGCTACGTGTTCCCCAGTAAGTGCTGGTTAACTATCCGTTAGCTCCTGATTTGTTCCTCTATGGTTTCCTTGGTAACTACCCATTAGTTCTTGATTAGTTCCTCTTCATTTACAAGGTAACTAACCAGTAGTCCCCTAATAAGGCTTGGCTGTGTGTTCACCAGTAAGTACTGGTTAACTACCTATTAGCTACTGATTTGTTCCTGAGGCGTTCCCTAGTAGTTAATCAATTTTTGTGTACCTTATTGTAAAGTGTTCCCAAGAACTCTATAAGAAAGAAGTTCAAGGGGAGGGAGTATGCTGCAGGACATTGTCACATATCCATGCAACTCATAAACCTATTGGCAAATGTTGTGTTTAATTTAAAGGAACTGTGCAAATCTGAGCGTTTACCTGCAAGTGTGATGTTTTAAGTTGGAGTTCACCTGAGACGTCTTTTCTGTCAACCACAGCACAGCCGTGTTAAAGTCAGATCATTTCTCTGGAGGAGCCGCACAGCCTGTCTCCTGGCACCTGCCTTGCCAAGAACAGGCATGAGGAGGAGGAGGAGGAAGGAGAGAGAGAAAGAGCGGGAGCGGGTGGGAAGGAGGAAAAACCCAGCTGCCTCTGTGCCTGAGCCCCGTGTTGCTTTTAAAGGGGCGGGAAGGGAGAGGAGGGAGACTGCTGGCACCATCTGTACACGTCTTTTGTATTCCAGCCCTCGTCTTTACGCAGCGCGAGGCTGGTGTGCTCTGTGTTCAAATGAAAGGATAGGAGGTGCTTTTTGGGGCACAGTGCTCTTCTGTGTGTATCGATGCAGAAATTCGACGTCGTCCTCGGAAATTGGCCACACTCAGAGGACATCTTGCGTCGCTGTTTATTTGTGTCATTAGGTGTGCGCTCTGTTCACAAGCAGCCACGTGTGGTTACATCTCTGGGTTTCCATGTTTGTGAAGGCAGCCAGAAGCTTTTGTTTATTCAGCCCTAATATGAGCCCCATTAGCCTGGTGTCTTCTCTGCTGGTGATTCGCTCAACCTTTATTATTGTGTGTATAATACGTGCAAGGCAGCCCATACGTTCATGTAGCAGCAGGGTGGATCTGCCTGCAAAGACAGCCTGCACTGACTGCTGTCATATTGACGTGGCTTCCCCTCCACCCCTGCACAAACTGCAGCTGAAATCACTGAGCACTCTCTCACCCACCCACCCCTCCAGCTCCTTACTCAGACCTGGAGGTGCTGTGAATTATAAGAGGTGGCTGCCCTTCTCTTTGATTGAACCCACTTCCCCTTTCTTCTCTGATGTCACAAACAGAGCAGAGGAAAGGTAGAAGCAAGTCTTTTGTAGTCGGTGCACAGTGCACATACATGCACCGCACATGAAAAGCATATGATTAGATCAAGCATGCTCTGTGGTGGCTGTCAAGCTAAGCAGTAGGTAGATGTGGAGGACGATGGAGTCCCATCTGCATGCTCAGAGTGAACTCTAGTGGCCATGAGCAGCACTGACATGCTGAATGTTGAACTAGAATGTAATGATATGGACTAGAGCAGGGGTCTGCAACCTGCGGCTCTGGAGCCACATGTGGCTCTGCAGCGGCTCTTTCAATCTTTGACCAAAACTAACATAAAACTGAATTTATAGGATGTTATCCCCACAACAACAAAAAAGAATAGTTTTAGCTGTTTTCCTGTCATTTCCTTTGCAAATATGTGGATTCTAGTACTAATGCACAGATTAAATTATACTCCCTTTAACTTTATTTCTTCAAAGTAGGATACTCGGTTTCTCCACAATAAAAAAAACAAAAAACACTTGTTTTAAAAACAGTTTTAAAACACATTAAACAGTTCATTGTTTTAGGTTTTTTTTTTTTTTTTTTTTTTTTTTAAATAATATCTTATTTTTTTCTTTACAAGAATCCAGTCTTCTGTGATATACTTGCGACCTGGATATGGGCACCAGTGAGCCCTGTAACCCGAAAAGGAAGAAGCGATGGATGGATGGATGGATGGATGGATGGATGGATGGATGGATGGATGGATGGATGGATGGATGCCTTTTGTCTCAATGTATAAATATCAATAAATGTTAACAATCATTGGATGTTCATAATGTCGTGACTACTGGCCAGAAAAGCCTCCTCTAACAGACTTGAAGTCAGTGGTGGGATGTAACTAAGTACAAATACTTTGTTACTGTACTTAAGTACATTTTTCATGTATCTGTACTTTACTTAAGTGGAGTTAAATGTGGGTACTTTTACTTTTAATACTTTAAGTATTTTAAAAGCAAGTACTTATTTACTTTTACTTAAGTAAAAATGTTAATGTGGTGCTTCTACTTTTACTAGAGTACATTTTTGTCTGTTTATTTGTACTTTTACTTAAGTACAGTGTTTGAGTACTTTCTCCACCACTGCTTGAAGTGGCCCATGGGCCACCAGTTGATAATGTCAATTGTAACAGGTTTTGCGGCTCTGGACACGTTTAATTTAGTGAATGAAGGGACAGAAATGGCTCTTTTGATTGTAAAGGTTGCAGACCCCTAGACTAGAGCATCCTTTTGTTATAGAGGCAACACAGTTTGGGTTTTAACAAAGTGTCCAAGACAAACAAACATAAAACATCAGGTTAGCAGACTGAGTGCATATGTTTCAATACATTAATGTATGTGACAGTTTTGCAAATAAAAAGAATCTAGCACCTGTCAAGTCAAAAAAATAACTTTTCTTTGGTGATACAAGGATTATTACAGTTTCTGCATGTGATTAGGTGCTTAATGAGATCGACCAATCATTTAAATTGTTCAATTTCTTTTTCAAATTTTACTGTGAAGCTTTCGCGTTTTGTCAGTCCATATCTTCAGTCCTTATAGGCTTGATCTGGTTGTGCAGAGGGGACTTTCCTACAAATTGAAATCCCAACAGGTGTCAAAAGCACTTCTTCTTCTGCTTTCCTTCCAGCCCTGTTGTCCTCGTGGTGTGAAGAACTGGGACGTCTCCTCCTCCTCCGTCACCAGAAGAACAGGCAGAACGAGCCACCTGGAAAAGTGCCCATGCAGCCTCCAATGAGCTCCATGAAGCCCGGCCTCTCCCATGGGTCAGTGTTCACACTGCTGTGTGTTGATGTGTTTGTGTGTGAACACACAGTTCAGATGGATGGAGAGCATTTTCTTTTAAAGTGAAGCCCAGTGTTCCTCATGGATCCTCAGTGGGACAAACCAACAGATTAACTGCTTATTGCAGAGTCATAGTGACAAATAGTGTCTGAAGACTAAGAGTGAATATTTCTTGATCAATGAACATAACAGGTGCTGGTCATAAAATTAGAATATCATGAAAAAGTTGATTTATTTCAGTAATTCCATTCAAAAAGTGAAACTTGTATATTATATTAATTCATTACACACATATTGATATATTTCAAATGTTTATTTCTTTTAATGTTGATGATTATAACTGACAACTAATGAAACCCCCAAATTCAGTATCTCAGAAAATTAGAAAATTGTGAAAAGGTTCAATATTGAAGACACCTGGTGCCACACTCAAAGCAGCTAATTAACTCAAAACACCTGCAAAGATCTTTAAATGGTCTCTCAGTCTAGTTCTGTAGGCTACACAATCATGGGGAAGACTGCTGACTTGACAGTTGTCCAAAATACGACCATTGACACCTTGCATAAGCAGGGCAGAAGGTCATTGCTAAAGAGGTTGGCTGTTCACAGAGCTCTGTGTCCAAGCCCATTAATGGAGAGGTGAAGGGAAGGAAACGATGTGGTAGAAAAAAGTGTACAAACAATAAGGATAACCGCACCCTGGAGAAGATTGTGAAACAAAACCCATTCCAAAATGTGGGGGAGATTCACAAAGAGTGGACTGCAGCTGGAGTCAGTGCTTCAAGAACCACCACACACAGACATATGCAAGACATGGGTTTCAGCTGTCACGTTCCTTGTGTCAAGCCACTCTTGAACAAGAGACGGCGTCAGAAGCGCCTCACCTGGGACTGCTTCTGAGTGGTCCAAAGTTATGTTCTCTGGCAAAGTTATACAAGTTTCACTTTTTGAATGGAATTACTGAAATAAATAAATTTTTCATGATATTCTAATTTTATGACCAGCACCTGTATATGTGCTTTGTCACCAAGCATTTTGTTGTCTACATGATGGTTTTCTGTCCTTACCTCTGCAGAGATGGGTCTTTTCCTTATGACTCAGTTCCATGGCAACAAAACACCAATCAGCCTCCAGGTTCAGTCTCTGTGGTGACCACTGTGTGGGGTGTGACCAACACATCACAGAGCCAGGTGAGGTTCTGCACCGGCCTGAGAAATTAAGTCAATCTGGGTGACTTTCATCAGTCAGGATTGCAGTTTGACATTATTTTATTAAGAAGACGCCTTAGAAAGTGGCAACTAAAATGTTTTAACTTAAGTCATTATTTGTCTTGTAAAAGGAATGACCTTGTATTTGGGCTTTGATAATTATTTTTCCTCCAAGATTATGGGCAAATACCCATAAGGTAGTGGACACTATCCTAAATTGACCTGTTTTGTCCAAAAGGTCTTGGGGAACCCTATGGTCAACAACAACAATCCTATGAACCCTGGGGGTAATCCTTTGGGCTCGAGTATGTCTGGTAACAATCCAGGGTTGAACTCTCCTCAGTTCCCAAGTCCACAGCAGCAGTTCCCCAGCAAAGGCAACTCAAACCAGGGCTACATGCAGCAGGGTATGTACGGACGACCCAACTACCCTGGAGGAGGCGGCTTTGGTGGCAAGTAAGTGGACAAGCGAAACTTTTAATTGCATTGACTTGTGCCTTTTTGAGTACTTTGCTGTAATACTATTTATGGTGCTCCTTGTTAAAGTTACCCTGGAGGGCCTAATGCTGGACCTGGTGGGATAGGCATCTCATCAAACTCCCGTCCGCCCTCAGATTTCACCCAGCCTGCTGCTGCTGCTGCAGCGGCCGCGGTTGCTGCAGCTGCTGCCACTGCAACTGCCACTGCTACTGCAACTGTGGCTGCCCTGCAGGAAACCCAGAACAAGGACATGAACCAATATGGACCGGTAAGACTGGGAGCAAGAAGAAAACTGTTCACATCACACTCTAATTACTAGTTTCTTTGATGTTCTTTTTTTGGCCTTAAGGAACTTTTTTCCCCCAATATTAACAGTAGCACTACAAAGGGAGTTACAAGAAGTGGATTTAGGCTCATACTTAAACAATCATGATTCAGAGTGAATAATTAGACACAGTAGTAATGAAGCCAAATATCATATTTTGTTTCAACATAAGCTCAGATATAGTAAGGGGGGGGGGGGGGGGTTTATTCCGTGCTTATCTTTTTGTCTTAGCTGATTTGGGTTTGCAATGCAAAATTAACTCACTGACAGTCATGTCTGCGGGTACTATTTATTTATTTAATTTGTTTTTTCCAGATGAGTTCCTCTTTCCAGATGGGACCAAACCAGGCATACAACAACCAGTTCATGAACCAGCCTGGACCTCGCGGCCCACCATCTCTCCCTGGAAACATGGGTGCAGGAATGAATGCATCCAACATGAGTGGACCCCCAATGGGAATGAACCAACCTAGGGGCCAAGGCATGGGGCCTTTTGGGGCCCACGGCCAAAGAATGCCTCAACAGGGCTACACGGGACCTCGGCCTCAGGCCATGGGTATGCAGGGCATGAAAAGACCATACCCAGGGGAGGTGAGTTGACGATTCGACACTTGTTGGAATATTTAGCTCCTTTTCTAGATGTTGAATATATGTTGTCATCCACAGCCAACTTATGGTGGGCAGCAGTATGGACCAAACAATCAGTTCCCCAGCCAGCAGGGGCAGTACCCCACACCCAATGCCTCCAGGCCGCTGCCGTCCCCCAACTACCCCGCTCAGAGGATGCCAGGACAACAGCTCCAAGGGCAGTACCCACCGCACGGGGGTCCTATGGGCCATTACTATAAGGTGCTTTGATAAGGAATTTCATTAACATGTGATGGTTATTGAATCAAAGCACAATGTTTTAATTTTTCTTGAATAAAAATAATAAAGTTTTTTTTATCTCATCGAATCTGACTACAGCAAGAGCCACCTTTTAATGGCCAAACAAACAACTTTTCTGGGAGTGGATACCAGTACAACCAGGGTAATATGAATGGGGTGAGTCCATTTTATTAAATTGTACTATGTATCCATTGTCATACTGAATGGACTTTTTAAGATTCAATGAACTTATGATTTACTATTCAACTGTCTTCTGTTTAGCCTCCAAGACCAGTGGGTAATTACCCCCACTCCCCAGTGCCAGGCAATCCCACCCCTCCTATGACCCCTGGGAGTAACATCCCTCCATACCTATCGCCAAACCAGGATGTGAAGCCACCCTTCCCTCCTGACATCAAACCAAATATCACTGCACTCCCTCCCCCTACAAGTAAGTTACAAAACTGAGGTCATAAACAAAAATATTATATATTTTTTTAGTTTTTGATGATCTGATGTTGGCTCTTCTCCATAAACATAGGCAACCACAACGAGGAGCTGCGCCTGACGTTCCCAGTGCGAGACGGGGTCGTCTTAGAGCCCTTCAGGCTGGAACATAACCTGGCTGTCAGCAACCACGTCTTCCACTTACGGCCTTCTGTGCACCAAACACTCATGTGGAGGTAAATATAATGCTCTGAAAAAGGATGTGATACATTTTGATTTACCTCCTGTTGACAGCTCTGCTTTTGAAACAGCAGGTTGCCACACAGTTCACACATAAACCTCTTTTTTATGTGCTGCTTTTGAGCAAAATTGTGGAAGTAGTTATCCGTTAGCTAAACAAAATATCTAACTGCCTCTATCCAAATGTCTTTACATAAAGATGTTTCTAAGAAAACACTAAAAATAGCTTTTTTATGTTTGGTTTGCGCAGATCGGACCTGGAGTTGCAGTTTAAGTGCTACCACCACGAAGACCGTCAGATGAACACCAACTGGCCGGCATCGGTCCAAGTCAGCGTTAATGCCACGCCGCTCACGATCGAGCGTGGCGACAACAAAACATCACACAAACCCCTGCACTTGAAACATGTGTGCCAGCCAGGAAGGAACACGATCCAGATCACAGTCACCGCCTGCTGTTGCGTGAGTAAATTAACCTTTAGAACAAATGAAAAAACTCAAAATAGCTTCCATTAGAAAACAAACAAAAAAAGAACACAATGACGAGGCTAAAACTGTAAAAATTACATTTTCTGTGAAATTGCAGTGTGACTGCTGAGTGCTGAATGACTGCTGAAGAAGCTGCAACTGAGTTGCTAAAGCTAAAACAAGCAGAACGCTAGCTAAATGCCATAAGCTAGGTAAAAGCTAAAAGCAACACGTTAGCTAAAAAGGAAAAATCGTGCGAGACAAACTGAAAGTAGAAAAATGCTAGTTCAAAACAGTAAAAGGCTAGCTAGAAGCTGAAAGTAATATAAGACTTGTTAAAAGCTAAAAAAAAGCAGAATGGTAGCTAAAAGCTAAATAGCATGAAGCTACCTAAAAGTTAAATGTAGCAGAATGGTAGCTACTAAATGGTAGCTAAATGCTAAGTAGCAAAATCATCCTAAAAGGTACAAGAAGCAGAATGTAGCCAAAAGCTAAATAGCATGAATCTATCTAAATGCTAAAAGTAGAAGAATGGTAGCAAAATGGTAGCTATATGCTAAGTAGCAAAATCACCCTAAAAGGTAAAAGAAGAAGAATGGTAGCTAAAAGCTGAGACACGATTAGAACAAAAATAGAGCAAGTATGTTGAAGCAGATTAAATAAAGAAAAATGTTTTCAAGGAATTGGAAAGATCTCCGTGTATTTTTGTGGGGAAAATAATTGTAAATAAAGTTGCATTTAGAAATATATTAAAGTTACAACTCCCCACCAAAATTAAAAAAATATATATTTTTTTAATATTAATAAAAGAAAAAGAAATGTGATCAACATTCACACAGTTGTTTTTATTGTTATGTGTACAGTGTAAGACATAAAGTAGGACTTAATTGTGCATGTCTGGGGGATGTCTGTAATGTTTCCTTCCACAGTCGCACTTGTTTGTGCTGCAGCTGGTACACAGGCCATCGGTCCGCTCTGTCCTGCAGGGCCTCCTGAAGAAGAGGCTGCTGCCTGCAGAGCACTGCATCACCAAAGGTACTCAGTTGTCACAGATCGCACCCTAAAGTCCAGCTTGTTCCCGAGTCTTTGCTTTACATCCTGTTCCTCTTCTTCTTTTGCCTTAAAGTCAAGAGGAACTTCAGCAGCGTTGCAGCGTCGACAGGGAACGCTACACTCAATGGAGAGGACGGTGTGGAGCAGACAGCCATCAAGGTTTCCCTCAAATGTCCGATCACTTTCAGACGAATACAGCTTCCAGCAAGAGGCCACGACTGCAAACACGTCCAGGTTGAAAAACTTTGCATTCACAAAACAAAAACTAAAACATTACTGGCAGACAGGTGTAAAACGTTTCTTATTTTTCATGCAGTGTTTTGATTTGGAATCATATTTACAACTGAACTGTGAGAGAGGAACATGGCGATGTCCTGTATGCAAGTAAGTGGATTCTTTGTATGCACCTTACTGAACTCATCTACTGACTGTTCCTGTCTGCAATTTTAAGACTTCTAAATGCCTCTTTTCTTTCTTTAGTAAAACAGCATTGTTAGAAGGACTCGAAGTGGACCAGTACATGTGGGGAATTCTGAATGCCATTCAAAAGTGCGTTGAGTTCATCAAGTTTAGGGTTTTTCTTGCTTTCCTTATATCTTTATAACCATTTGATTCCAAATTTACTCCACCAGCTCTGAGTTCGAGGAGGTCACAATTGACCCAACATGTAGTTGGCGGCCAGTGGCTATCAAATCTGACATCCACATCAAGGAGGATCCTGATGGACCACTGGCTAAGAGGTTCAAGACTATGAGTCCCAGCCAGATGATCATGCCCAATGTGATGGATATGATAGCTCAACTTGGACCCGGACCATCGCCATACCCATCTTTGCCCTCTGGTCAAGGTGGCAACAGTGAATACGGAAACCAAGGTAGCCAATGATTCTAGTGTGAAAAGTTGTTTCATCTTGAGGAAAAAAATATAGAAAGCTTGAAAGAACTGCAAGAAATGTGTGCAAGTATTGACATTTTTTATTTTGTGTCCAGGCAACAGTTACCAAGGGCACGGGAACTTTGACTTCCCCCACAGCACTCCAGGTGGTACGTCAATGAACGACTTCATGCATGGTCCCCAGCTGTCTCACCCACCTGACATGCCCAACAGCCTGATGACACAAGACAAGCCCCTGTCGCACAACATGCCTGACTCGGTAAGTCATTCTGGAAACAAATGTATAAAATCATACAGCATGTTTGTTAAATGTCCATTCTACTTTCCTTGTGTTGTCTGTAAATATGTAGATAATTGCATCCATTGTCTTGGCACCTAAATGAGGAATTCTTGTATCTTTAAAACTGGTGTTTTTATGTAGTTAAAAAAAAAAAGAAAAAAAAAAGATATACTTACCATATTTTTTGGACTATAAGTCGCGAGTTTTTTGCATAATTTGTATGCCCTGCGACTTAATAGGCTAAAGCGACGTATTTATGGATTTTTTTCCCCCATATTTACAAACCAATTTTTGGCTGAGATATGACCGTTTTCATTCATTCTGACTGAAAATTTTTTTGAACTGTACCATTTTCAGCCACTAGATGGCAGCAGAGTAGTAGTAGCCTTAAGGCATGCCATTGTATCATGTAATAGGTAAAACTGGCTATAATGACAATTTCCAAAAAGTTCAAGACAAAAACAACTGAACTTTATGTATTATACTTCATACTTTATTGTTTTTGTCTTGAACTTTTTTTGAATTTACCATGTCTTGGATGACTGAGAATCTTCACCAGCTATTAATGACACAATCGGCCTGCCATAGTACTCCACATTCATTCTGCTCGCTGCTTGGAGCAACCTCAGCTTCATTTTGCTACAACGCCCCTGCAAAATGCATCTAATTGGACCATTACACCACCTGGTGGTGGATGGGTTAAATGCAGAGACTAATTTCGCCATTGTATGGAAACATACAGTGCTGACATTGTGATGACATTATTATTATTATTATTATTAAAGTGCATTTATTAAACAAAAGTTAGACTGAGACACACATTTACTATAATTTTAAGTAAACAAATAATTGTTTTTAAGTGTTAATCTTGTTAAACTCTTGTTAAAGTCCTCGTGTGCACACTCCTGCAGCCGCCATTTGGCAGCCCATTGGTTTTTGGCACACCGGCCCACATTTCCGGGTTGTCAGCAGTGACGCGTAACAAACGCGACATGTCAGCGGTGACTCATAATAGATGCGACGTATACGGCAAAGCGACATATTTATGGATTTTTCCACATTTTTAGACATATTTGGACTGATGCGACGTATAGGGTGGTGCGAGGGGTACGGCGGAAAATACGGTACTACATGTGATGAGATTTGAACTTCCTTGTTTTTTTCTATACGGTCAAAACTTAAAATTATTTTATTTATATATATATATATATATATATATATATATATATATATATAGCACAAAAAGTCTCAGATATTCAGAATAATTTGGATCAAACCAAGTTAACCTACAGTAATCTTTTAAACTTTATGTTTTCTTTACAGGCATGGAAGCTTGAGTTAAAGCCTCTTTCTGTTTGGACCCTCAGGTTTACTGAAAAATTCAGACAAAGAGCAAAGAGTGGAGGTTTTGCTGTACTAACAAGCAAGTTTGAGTTTTATACTGTAGGCAGGGTTATCTAAATCTAATTTCATTATGATAAGTAAACAGGAAGACAGAAATGTAAGCTGTTTCAAAGTATCATGTGAAATATGCTTTTTTTACCCAGTTTCCTGACATATTTCAAGGGCAGTGTGGCTCACATTGATAATGTTATATTTTTCTATACACTGTGCAGCCCTGATCATAACAAAAATGGCAAAGTTTATTTATGGACCAAAAAATAGTTATTGTTTCTGATTTTTTTTCCCCCCACTCTCTTTTCAGATACCTCACTCTGCCGGCCCTGACCATACGCATGGGCCGCTGCAACAGAGCTTACATGCGTCTCCGCACCCTGGGAGTCAATCAGGGCCGCAGCTACACCACAGCGGACCTCCTCAGCCCTCGCGGCAAGTTCCGCCCCCTCAGCCACAACAGCAACCGCAGCTGCAACCACAGCTACAGCAGCCCGGCCCCAACAACCACCCCCACAACGACATAACCTTCAACCCCTCCAGCAGTTTGGACAGCCAAGCTGGGTCAGACATGCCCGAGCCATCGTTAGATGTAAGTCCTGACAAATCAAAGCTAATCAGAATGAAAAGCATTTTTTAAAAGCTAATTCTTGCATTCACTCTTCCCATCATCCAGCTTCTTCCTGAACTCGCCAACCCAGATGAACTGTTGTCATACCTGGACCCCCCGGACCTCCCCAGCAATAGCAACGATGACCTTCTATCGCTCTTTGAAAGCAACTAAGGCAATCTCAGACATGACACTTTTCCGATTGCCTGAAGCTTCCCTGAGAAACCATGGCAGTTACTCAGTACTTGACAAACACAAAGATGCACTCCTTTTCTCTTCTTCCTCTCGTACAATTTTCCTTCGCCAGCGCAGATCGACTACAAGATTTACAAACTCTAAAGACACGGCAGGATCTGGCCGAGTAACCACACCCTCCCACCTTGTGGTACACCTTTGACTGTGCAGCTAAAGTTGATTTCCTTTTTATACACCACACACATGTATGTGTGCTCATTAGGAATGTGTTGTAGCATTTTTAAACAAGTTTTTTTTTGTTTCCTTTTGAAGAAAAAAAAAGGAATTCCTTGTATAAAGTTGAAAAATACCTATAAAAAAACATAATCTGGCCAGTGTATGTTATGCTTTGTAGTCTGAGAGGCCACCACCTCCTGATATCATTGCTCCATTCCCTAACTGATCCGGTTAGTCGCACTGTTTTGTCCACCACACACTTATCAAAAAGCACAAGAAAATTTCAGGCACTTCAAAAAACAGAAAAAATTTCTTTATAAAAAATAAAAAAAAAAGATCAGTTTGTCAAAATGTTTTCTAGAAATTTGCTGCCAATGTTTTAGAACGATTTTTGGAATGATCGGCTTCCAGTTTTGTCATTTGTATTTGAATCGGTTTTATGAAGTTCGACTCCTGAACCAGAGGTTTTCCCCAGAACAAAAAATGCATTCATAATAATAACGTATCTGGTCTTCAGCACATCACGTCATCATCGTCTTCCTGTAGCGTGGCGTGTTGTTTTTATACGAGGTACATCACGAGAGACTGGGGTTCCTGAGGCGATCTTGCCACGTTTATCGTTTCCATCAACGTCTCCTTCCACGCCACCTGCTCTGCATGAGCCTTGTCAGCACGAAGCTGCATCTCTCCTCGTTCAACGATGTGCTGTTTAAGTAGTGTACAAAGTGCATGTGTGCCAAGCCCTCGTCTAGTGCTGTTCCAAAGTGGTGAAAAAAAAAAAAGAAGATTGTTTACCGACGGTTTTCCACCAAGTTTTGGTTTTATTTAACACTAACATCAAAGGGATGATGCTGGTTTTATAGTCTTCTGTTCCCTTTTTCTCGTTTTCATGTTGCTGCATATTTAAACCGATCCATTTGTCTTTTAGGAACCTGCTAACCAAAGCTCGATGAGAATGGAATTGTGTTTGATCCTGTGTAAGACTGCAAAGGGATGCTTGTGAATGTGCGTGTGTGCGTGTAAGTGATGGTCAGACAGGAAACTGTTGATCCGTCACTGCTGTTGAAGAAGTGATTCTTTCAAAGCAGTATTGGTGCGAACTTTCTTTTCTTTTTTTTGTTGTTGCCATGTTTGTTTTCAGTTTCACTTATTGAGGAGTGCTGTTCAGTATGCAAATGTATTATTTTTTAAGAAATGCTATCGTACTGTAAATATCATTGTGAATATTTTCGTACCATCTCAGTGATGTTCGCCCTCTGATCTCTTGTCGTCCAACCTCAAAGCTCCCAGATCGAACTCTATAACCAGCCGTCTTCTTCGTCCCGAGGAAACATCTCATAAGCTATTCCCTCCTTTTTTCTTCAGTCTGTTTTGTTGCTTTTCATCCGCTCACGGTGGTCATGTTGCATTTATGTCCAGTTCTCAAACTCGGTTTTTGAAGCAATACTTTCTTCCAAGATAAGATGTATTGATCATGAATCTATAAGTGTTTGGTCTGAGAGGTGGGGGCTTTAAAGAGAGCTGCCTTCTAGTGTAATTGATTTATATAAATATCACTACTGTTGCTAATTGTCAATACACAGTGGTTTTGTAAGATATATCACAACCATATTTTAAAGAAATCCATGATATTGTTTATATTTTTGTTATAGAAAATGTGGCTTTTTTTAAAAGCATGAGACCATAAACCTTTTTATCCCCCCCCCCCCCTTTTTTTTTGTCGTTTTTGATAAATTATTTTGTACTGTTTTCATTTCCTTATTAATCTGTAAGGCTAGAAATCCAATTTCTTATCACTTTAGTGTTAATTAACCAGCGTGGTTTTATGTAAACTTTCTTTTTAAACATATTTGTTCCAGCTCAGAGCACTGACGTGTTTTAGGTCACAAAGAGACATTGCGTTGTTCAACATCCCACAGCCACTGTTTTTGGTTTAACTTTAATATCCAAGTTGAAATCCCGTGGAAGTCGTCATCATTTCGTCGTTTGTCCTTACTTTCAAGAGTCATGCAGCACCCCGAGTGTAGTTGTACAATCACAACAAAAGGCCATTTCTTTGGGGGATGTTGTTAAGGAAAAAAATAATTAAAATAAAAGTCATAGAGATAAAGGGCACGTTCATGAGTCTAGCCTAAAAGATACTAAAGGTGAGGCTTATAAACGTCCCAGGGTTGTCTGTATATATGTAAATTAATATAGAGACGTGAACAGAAATTAATAAATTTTCCTTGGGAATGTGCATTGTTTCTTCTTATTAATAATAATAGTAAAGACGCTTGCAACCCCTCTACAGGAAGTGGCTGAATATGGATGAATGAAACAAGTTTGATCGTGTCTGTTGGAATTTCAGCATTTTGTTGCCCTCCCTCTGTAATATACTTTCACCTCTTTTGTTAGGGAAACTGGGACAGATGTGTTTTGCTATTTAGCCTAAGTGTTCTAGTCTCACTGGCATACTTTGAGGTGCTAAAGCTAAAAAATAATAAAGAAAGGTTACAAAGAAAACCACTTGAAAGTCAGGAAGAAATGTGTTGGTAAGGAATGGGGTCCTGAAGACTGTAACCAAATCCACAAGTTTGTACAATTTTTGATATGAGCTGTTGGAAAAATGACAACGATCTACGGTGATTCATGCAATGTGGCCATTGTCTCTATGTTTGTACATTGTATGTACAATCATTTCATACTCTAAACTGGTCAGAAAATAAAGGAACTAATTGTGATTTTTAGTCTTGCAGAACTGTATGTAGTTAGATGATGTGACAACCTAATATTTATCTAATAAATATGTATTCAGATGATTTCTATGTGTCACCGTGTTTCCATCCAACAATAACTGTATGGTATTTCTTGTCCGACTCCCACAGGGGGTTTATTTAAGCAACGAGAGTTTATTTAGCTATACCTACATTTTGTGTCAAACAATTATGGTAATTGAGCCCTTCTGTGGCAAAGACATGAGAGCGCATTAACTAACACATGAAACTTTAAAATTTTGTCTAGATGGACTGGATTGAAGCATTTTAAAGTGTCCCACTTGAACAAAAACAGCAATAACACAGAAGGAACAAAGAATGCACAAATGCTCCTGAAATTTGGATGTAGGTCAACATTGCTTACAAGAGTCATTTCTATTTATGGCAATAATTCCTCTACAGTTGTGTACATTTAATGATTACTTGACCAAACCTTAAAAACGTAACTAGGAGGAACAAAATATGATTTTCATTATATCTACAGTAAATAGAATGATGTTTTGTTTTAGTTTTCTTCACAAAGCTGTATACTGTCAAATGTTCATCTGTTTGGCAGACAAAAAAAGCCTAAAGTTGAACACAGCATGAGTTGTTGTGTGGCTAATCTTAGGTTAAACTCAATAGCTTGTCTTGAATTTTTTTTTAAATGGTTTAAAGTGTTCCTAACAAGACAGAAACAAAATTTAGTAGAACAACCAGTAGTTTTCATGAAGCTTTTTTGTTTTCCTTTTATTCCACAAGTGAGCAAACGTACTGAGACCGGAAGTAGACCATTTCTATTTCCGGTGTAGACGGCAGCTAGCTAGCTACTCTGCTTATAACAAAGCACAGGCTCTGTTGAAGGCAGACTTTTGTACAAACTCTAAGAGACAACTGTCAATATTTGTCATTTTATAGTTTTCTCCTCCGACGAAGACGTCAGCAGGCGCTGGTCATAAACAAAAAAAGCAAGGAAGACCTGAACTTTGTGAAGACTAAACTAAAACATTTGCCACGAGCTCGAATGTCCAACGTAAAACTAACTTTATCGCGGTGGAAGAAATCCTAACTTGTTCAGAGTCTTGGCGGAAATATCTGAAGCTACAGACCATCCCCTCAAAACATTTTTTTATGTATTAACTGAAGAGAATGAGGGTCGCAGCACAGAAACGGGAGAATGCTTCAAGTAAACTACAATCCGTGGACATGGAGAGAGCTGCGATCATCTTGCGGGACCATGATTACGTCAATTCTCAGCCTTTCTCAGGTAAGAGTGATAAGTAGCTGAATTAAATAACTGATAACATTCCTGCATGTTCCTGTAACTATTAACTAAATGAAGCGACTCGATACTGAAAAGCAAAACTCCCGCGGTCCCCTGCGTTCCCGTATGCGCATGCTCAGTCACTCAGTATTTTTGCGATGCATTGTGGTCTAGATATGTTTATGCCTACTTCCGGTTCGTTGAAATAAATACATATAGGAGCATCTAAAAAATTATATTGTGGAGAAAAAAAAAGTCAATCATTTTAGAAAGTGAAATTCATATTTTACAGTGGCGTGAAATATTTCAAGCCTTTATTTCTTGTAATTTGGATCATTATGGCTTACAGATAATGAAAAAACAAAATTCAGTGTTTCAGAAAATGAGAATATTACATAGCCAGTTTGTGGTAACTTCAGCAGTGTGGGCAGGAGCCAAGTTCTGCTGGAAAATGAAATCAGCATCTCCATTAAGCTCATCAGCAGAAGTAAGCATGATGAAGTTCTCTAAAATGTCCTGGTAGATGCTGCGTTAACAGAAACCACAGTGGACCAACACCAGCAGATGACATGTCACCAAACTATCACTGACTGTGGAAACTTCACACTGGACTTTAAGCAACGTGGATTTTAATTTTTCATTATTTGTTAGCCATAACCATAATAAATAAATAAATAAACATTATTACTACAAGAAATAAAGGCTTGAAATATTCACTCTGTGTAATTATACAAGTTTCACTGTGATTGACAAAGACAATTTAACTTTTTCATGATATACTAATTTTATTAGTTGCACATGTAAACTGTATTATCATCTGTGCTCTGCAATTATTCTGACACCCAGCAACATTGAGGGGTTTTCACTATCACACATGAAATACAATAAAACTAATTTATTTTTATTCATTCAACCTTTATTTATACATGTTAGTCTCACTGACTCACAAGGACTCATTTTCAAGAAAATAAATAATTATAATAATTATAAATACATTTTGTATGTATAAAACTCAACAACAGCGCAGCAGGTGTAAAGGACAAATAAGACTATAGTTGGAATGCCTACCTCAAATACCAGAAATAGCAATTAATGTATTTAGGGCGTGGTTCCTGATTATATGCATGCATTTTGGTAACTGTAAAAAAGCCAGTTGTGAGTAGCAAGTTCACCATGGCAACAAATAGGGACGTTCATATTTGTAAACAGAAGCATTAATTTTTGTGCATTAACAGTATGCTAGTGGCCTAAAAGCATGACACGCTAAATATAAAAATATCAACACATTTCGTGTGAATATGAGGTAAAAACGCAAAAAAAAATTATAAAGATAACTTGCATATTGCCAAAAGAAAAACTTTTTTTTTCATTCATTTTAGGATTTATAGCCAGTTCAAAGATAATCAGTTTGACTATTTTAATCTGGTACTATGTCAAAAAAACTTTTATTGAAAACATAAATGTTTTCATTAAACTGTAAATGAAATTGTTACAAAATTTTAAAATGTATACAGCTGTCCCTCGCTATATCGCGATTCACTTGTGGCTTCACTGTATCGCAGGTTTTTTAACCCCCTTTTTTTTTACCCGTTTTTTTAACCCTTCTTTTTAAACACTTTTGTAAAACCTGTTTAAAAAAAACACTGTTTTATAAAACCATTTGTTAAACATGTATTTTTTAACACATATTCTTTAACATGTTTTTAAACATGTTTTTTTTAAAACACGTTTTTTTTAACACTGTTTTTAAAACTCTTTTTAATATATTGTGTGTACTGTATATGCTGTGCAGTACTGTGCATTCATCGTCATCACCATCGCCAAAGTGTTTAAGAGAGTATGGTGTTTATAAGAGAGTGGGAAAGGTTTTTAGGAGTGTGGGGAGGGTTTATAAAGCCTTCATCCTATCTAGATAATACAATAACTATAACGCTGCTACTTGGCGGATTTTCAGCAACTTTGGGGGTCTCTGGAACGTAACCCCTGCGGTAGGTGAGGGATCACTGTACATTCTAATGAAGCTGATTAAAAAATATACTCTCAAAACTTAAATTTGTTTTAGGTACTGGCTGTGACTTTTTTTAAACCCACGTAATTAAACTAGTGTTGTTATTTTGTACCTAGGTGGACAAGATTGTACAACGAATGAAGTGCCGAAGACAAAACAGCTTGTGTCAAACATCCTCTCTGGACCATTACTGGACAGATGGTGTGTGTCTGATGATGACTTTAGATATTTCACCAGGTTCCCATCGAAATACGTGTTTTCAGTGTTTTGGACAGCTATTGAACCGACTGCATCCAGGCTTGTGAACTGGTTTAAAGCGAACGAAAGTGAAATTAACAAAGAAGAGGACAACCTCTATGATTCAAGGCCCCAGTGTAAGCTTCCACACATTGATGAGTTCTTTATGTTTTGCATGCATCTTAGCCTTGGCCAAAAAGAGGTCATTTTGGCAAGAACGTTTGGGCTGAGCCTCACTAGAGTAAGGCACATCCTAGTCACATGGTCCAACTACTTGTACTTGTTGTTGGGATCGATTGGAATCTGGATGACACGAACACAAATTAGACAAGCGATCCCTTTAAAGCTCCCGCAGTACTGCCAAAATGTGAGGGTCATTATTGCAAGCACGGAGATCGGGTGTGATCGAAAAACGGATACCGACTGCTCTGAAAAAGTGTCAAATCACACAAACTTCACCAAATATAAGGCTTTGATTGGAGTAGCGCCCTGCGGTTCCATCACCTTTGTATCAAAGTTGTTCCCTGGTTTCCTGTGCAACGAGGAGTTGATGAGGGTGTCAGGAATTTTGGACTTACTTCAGCCGGGCGACCAGCTCGTAGCAGACAAAGACTTTGACATCGAGAGGCTGTTGAAAGATTTTGGGGTAGAACTTCTCAAACATCCTTCTAAGCACCAACTTAACTGTGAATCGATGGATCTGAAAGCCCGGCTCGTCACCAGACTCCTTGCTCTCGCCAAAAGAGCCGTCAAACGGATAAAGGAGTATCAGATTTTACAATCGCCGATTTCCCTCTCCTTTGAAGAAACAGGAAATCAGATATGGTCCTGCTGTTGCATGATGGTAAATTATCAGGGTTCTTTGAATGCAGGTGGAACGTTACTGGATTTGACTAAATAAACGTGCTGTAAGGTTGATCTGGTCCAGTGGTTTTTACACTTTAGTGTCCAAGGCCTCACAGGGTTTTGATTGGGAAAATGTCATCAGCTGTCACTCTGATGTGATTCTTTTATTTTCACAAATAGATGTTTTTTTTTTCTACAAAGAACTATGTTAAGGATGAAACTTGTTGGCCATCGCAGTGTTCCGAGTATCAGTACTGAGCTCTGTCATCACACAACGAGCTGCTTGCAACTAGCTTTCCTTCCTTGAGGAATTTTAAGGTCTGACATGACGCTTTGTTGTTTTGCTTCTGTTTGATTGCTTTTACGTACTTTGCTTTGTTATTTGTAAACTTTTAAGTGGAGAGTATTTCGTCAAAGTCTGGCTTGTGGTTATCCACCCAAACTCCACCCAGACAGGTTTGTGTTTTTACTGAGAGACTTTAAAATTATGTTTTTCTTAGAACTTGTTAACTGGAAAATTGAAGTATTTTAACTCGATTTAACACAGAACATGAATAAAATGGTTCAGTTCTGAGTTAATTTGTTTGTATTATTCTCAAAAAAAAAAAAATTCAATGTGAAGCAATTAAAAAAAATGAAAGCAAGGGTCCATGTTTTGTTCTTTCTCAACCAATCAGTTATAAAGGTGAACAACAAAACAATAATTAGGGTGAAGTGTATTTTTAAGAACCTAACTGTAGGAATGAAATGTTGTGACACCTGCAGTAACCCAAATAATTGGTATGTCTCCTCTGTATTTACCAGATTGTTTTAACTTTTTTGTAAGTTTGTAAAAAGTTGTTAATATCCTTTACATATAGAAATATTGTGCAAAAGGATTGAGTCCTTCCTAATTTCTTAATAGTTTGCTTCTGGGGAGCCAGATTTCTCTGTAATTTCTCTTGTATTTCTCTGTAATGGGAGCTCCACAGGGCTGTGTGCTGAGCCCCCTGCTGTATGCCATCTTCACACATGACTGCACCACAACAACGCTATAGTCAAATATGCGGACGACACCACAGTGGTGAGGCTCATCAGTGGGGGAATCCACCAGGGATGAGGTGGAACAACTGACTGCTTGGTGCAGGAGGAACAATCTGCTCCTCATCACCTCAAAGACTAAAGAGCTGATCATTGACTTCAGGAAAAGAAAATGGCAGTCCCACCCCGATTATAAGCAACGACAGTGTGGAGCAAGTAGCTGACTACTGTTTCCTGGGTTTCCATTTGAGGGGAATCTGACCTGCAGCGTGAACACCTCAGTTGCTGATAAAGGCCCAGCAAAGACTACTAGGAAAATCATCACCCAGAGACTGCTGGTGTCTTTACCGATGCTCCATAGAGAGCATCTTAACATACTTCATCACTGTGTGGAACCTTAGCTGCACAGTGGCTCAGAGGACAGAGTTATCAACACAGTCCAGCAGATTCTCCCACTGGAAGATTTAGTTCTCACTGCATATAGCCCACATCTTAAAGGACATGTGGACATGATCTGTTTGAACTGTTACCATCAGGGAAAAGATACAGATCAATCAAGAACAAACAGATTTTAAAATGGTTTGTATCCGTCAGCCATTGCTGAACTTAAAAACTGTAATAAGAACTGAATAAGTGCAATAAGGGACAATTTGGGTAATATCAATCTGCTTGTGTTGCACATTTGTAGTGCAAATCTGTAATTATTACTTTTTATACAGTTCATATGTTTGTTTTACTGTTTTTACTTTTGCTCTGGGAAGCAAAGCCAAATGTTGTATTTAGGTGCAATGGCAATGAAGGTCTATTCTATTCTAATTCTCTAAAGTCGTCTGTATAATTAGCTGTCCAGGGCTTCTGGGGAAAAAAAAAAATTAAACTTTAGAAACAAAATATAAGGAATCAACCATATTGAACACATTTCAAACAATCAGTTTATGTGAAGTAAATCTCAAAGGCAGTCATAAAGTCAGGGATGACACAAACCTGCACAATATTGTTTAATGACTTAAACTTTTTTTCATTCATTTTGCTGTTAGTGGTAAAAGTGAACAATGTTTTTGAAACTTTTTCTCAAAAGCTGTCCACAAGGTGAAAAAAAATTATACGAAGTACTTTTTTCTTTAAAGATTTTGTTAAATACTTAACTATGACTCGTACATAACACTGGCATATTTTAAATCCATTGGTTTTCTCGGTTATCTCGTCCGTTTTGCTGTTGTAATATAATTTCGTGTAGTCTCGCGAGATCTTCACACGAACTCTCACGTAACTTCCTGTTTCTGTCAGCGCGTGTGACTTTAGCTCACAGTGCTTTAGCTAACCTGAGCTAACTTGTGTGGAGGAAAGCAGCTGTGTGAAAATGTTACTTTTATCGAACAGGATAAAGTTTTGTTCTCTGGCGTTCACCGCCGCCCGCATGTACAGCACCGGCCCCGCAGCCGCCAACAAAAACCCGACAGTTTACTTTGACATTGCTGCGGACAACGAGCCGCTCGGCAGAGTTACCTTTGAGGTGACGTCACATTTTTCAAATCTTTTTAGGTTGGCCGAGGAAGAGTCACTCCACAAAACATATTTTTGGAGGATAAAAACAGGGTTAAAGCTTTAACCTTGTTCGTTTTGATTCTGTTTACAGCTCAACGCAGATGTTGTTCCAAAAACTGCAGGTGAGTTGTTTTTCTTTTCACCAAACTGCTTCAACTAGAACCAGAAGCTCCAACTAGTATTAAATTTACCTTGTATTCGGTAAAGGATGTAATGTATCATTATAGGTAAATTACAATTAAACCATCATGTCATCATGTTCTGTTGTCTTCATGAAGGTGCTGGTACTTCTATGCTCATTTTCAAAATCAATTAACTCCTGTAACGTTTGGGTGTCCAAAGTGCGGCCCGTGGGCCATTTGCGGCCCTTGGAGTGATTTTGTGCGGCCCACAACCGCAGTTTAAGAATGGTGTTATTTTGGCCAGCAGGCTTAAGAGGTCCATGCAGACTTTCTGCAAATTAATTGGTAACACTTTTTAAAATAATGTTTAGGTTTAACGGCAAAACGGATGAAAAGCCGTCTTTTCAAAATGAGCAATATTAAACTACAAAGCTTTGGCTGTAATCTTTTAACAAAGCACCAAAAACCTTTACTGATTTCTACCAGAAAGGAGACTTTTGGATAATGATTCATAAAACGTGGCTCAGTAGTGCAGTTGATAAAATAATCTAGAGTGAATTTTAAATGAATATAACGTGGTATCATCCACATACGAGCCGATCGACTTTATCAAACCTTCCGTGAACCTGTTGTAGCGACTGACAGCCGGACGATTGGATCAGCCTACACACTTTTTAAAAGTACACTTACACAAATTAAGCTTTTGTTGCTGAGAACAGACTAAAATGAACTTTCCAAACACAAGAAACAACTAACATAGACCTAACAAATCAATTTTTTTATATACTTTTTAATAAAATATACAAGCTTAGTGTTTATGAAGCTTTTAATGTTTTTGGATCTACAACAGTTTAAAACTTTCTCCACCAAAATTAGTGAACTTTTTGTCCTTTCTCCAAAATATTGTTCACGTTGAGAGTTAAATTCACATTTTTGTGGCCCATGAGTTATTTCATCTTTGGCCCACATATGAAAATGTTTGGACACCCCTGGTTTAGGATGTACAGTGCCAGGAATTTTCAGCTTTGTTCGAACATAATACAGCTTGTTTATTTATCAACAATATTCAGTTTATTCCCATGGAACGTTTCCTGAACGTTTACCAGAAATGATCCCTTTTTCAACCCTCCTAGTAATAGACTATAAACTAAGTCTGCAAGTATTTTTATTTTAATTAGTCACTAATTTGTCATTTATTCTGAATAACTTAATTGCTCTCAAACTCATAATCCAATTTTATTTTTAATGGTCAATTTAAGCATTGACCCCCCGAAGAAGGTGTAAGCAAAAGCTTATAAAAGAAAATTAAGCTTTTTTTTTAACGTATTTAAAAATAAAAAGCCTCAGCATGTTGTAAGAAACGTAGCGAGCTGTGGTGAGAAATTCTTTATTTTCATCAGAAATTTGTTCACAGATTATTTTCCTCACTGTCAGCAAAGAGAAATATGAAACTATTTCAAATGTAAACCTGGTAACGTTGCCTAATGTTCTCTTAACTTCTACACTTCTCACATCATATATTAATTGTATTTACTGCATCATATGATTTTGTCTGTGACCCTTTCTACACTGAATGCGCTCCAAACAAGCAGAAGTAAAGAATACTGGTGCTTTAGAAAACCTGAGTGATGAAACGTGGGTGTTATCGAGTTCTCACCTGCTGAGATCGGTTTCACCGCCCACGTACGTTTACCGGTACTAGATTTTCAACCATCAGGAGGTGTTTGTCCGGCTACAAAAACAGACTGTGGAAACGGAGCTCGTTGAACTGAACTTGACACCAGTCAGGAACGTTAATGTCAGTCGATTTCCATACAAATGCTTCCTCAAACTTTTATTCACAGGAAAATATAAATATAAGCAGACGTTCTGTCTATAGAGTGCACTTGTGCATGACAAATAAAACTCTCTGACTTAAAGTGTCCCCCGCCCCCACGGCTGTCCAGCAGTACCCAAGTTCGCTTCCTTTTCAGATGTTGTAAGCCTGTTGCAACATTTTAAGGAGTTAAAAACAAATCCTGAAAAGTAACAAGTCTTAAAACTGTCTACTACGCCTATTTACTGGAGCCCTTTTACAAACCCTCTTGAAATGGGCTGTCCACTTTTCACGTTAGAAATCTTTAGGTCATGATTAAGAAGAGTCATTTTTTCCCTGTAGAAAACTTTCGAGCTTTGTGCACCGGAGAACAAGGCTTTGGTTACAAAGGATCCATTTTCCACAGGGTGATCCCTAATTTCATGTGCCAGGCAAGTTTTTCTCCTTTTCTGCTTCATGTTTGTTGTCAGGCGAGCTGCCTCAGTGGGATTACAGGGGTGTGTGTGTGTGTGTGTGTGTGTGTTGTGGCTGCAGGGTGGAGACTTCACAAATCACAATGGAACTGGAGGAAAGTCCATCTACGGACTCCGTTTTCCTGACGAGAACTTCCAACTGAAGCACACCACACCTGGTAATCATCACTTTCATTTATCAACAGCTGTATATTTTATTTACTTATTATAAAATGCTTAAGTGACTTTTTTTCATCTATAATTTCTTGACTACAAATCAAACTAGAGAAATTGTATTTCCTGCGAAAATGCAATTGCAGAAGAACTTGCTGAAAAACAGCTGAAATTGCCTAAAAATGCTTAAATGTAGCTGAAATGGAAGAACAGGCCTAAATTAACAGAAGAAAACAACAAAAACAACCCTCATATTTGCTGAGTTAGTTTTAAATAAGCAGGTATGAGCACAAAAATAAGGAAATTAGCTAAAAAAAAAAGTTGAAATTGGCACAAAAAAAGCTGAAATTAGCTGAAAAGGCAAAAAAAAACAAACGACCAGAAGGAAGCAAAAAGAGCTGAAATGAGCTAAAATTAACAAAAAAGGAATTAGCTGAAAATGCTAAAATTAGTGTAAAACAGCTAAATAGTAGCTGAAAAAGCTGAAACTAGTATAAATAAGCTGAAAGGAGCTTAACAAGCTGAAATTAGCAGATAGAAGTTAGAAAAAGCACAAAAATGTTGTGGTTAGCAAAAAGAATCTGAAAGGAACACAAAACAGCTGAAAGTAGCTGAAAAAAGTTTTAATTTGCACAAAGAAGCTGACCCAGAACAAAATGTGAAAGGTTGTAAACAAATCTAAAGATATGAAGGATGTCAAATGAGCTCAGTTCATTTTCTACGAGGAAAAAAATGGCAGAAAAGGCTAAATATTTCAAAAAGGTAAAGTTGCACCAATATGAAAAGTCTTAGCAGGATTATCCTGAAAGAGCTGAACGTTTTGATACGTTTTTTTGAAATGGCACAAAAATTGTAGATCGAGAAAGATGCCGAAAAACATACAGAAGAAAAGTGGATCACAATACTGTCAATGATTCATAAGTGTTTGCACTATTATGGGGTAGAGGCAGGGCAGCTGACCTGGGATCCGAAAGTCCCAGGTTCGATCCCCAGCCCACATCTCGTGGTGTCTCTGAGCAAGACACCTAATCCCTAATTGTTCTCCAGGCAGCTTACATAGCTGCTCACTGCTCCTGCAATGGATTAAATGCAGAGAACCAATCTCACCATTTTATGGGAACATACAATGATGACGACACACAGCACTTTACTTAAATAGGATTTATGTAGTTTGACCTACCAGTAAATACTGAAGATCTTGAGGGTTATTCATGTTGTTGTCATGCTCATGTTTTGCCACCGGGTGGCAGCTGTTATACAAATGTTCATTTATCACTGAATGTGTTTCATGACTTGTGACCAATCTGTCAAAATGAGCTAATTTTGTAACTGTAGCTATCTGATAGTAACTTGTAGAACATTTATTCAAATCTCTCCACGTTAAACTCATTACATCTGTTTCCTGCTTTTTGTTCTAACAGAATCTGATTTTGTGTGTGTGTGTGTTTTAGGCATCTTGTCTATGGCTAATGCTGGACCCAACACCAACGGATCCCAGTTCTTCATTTGCACCACTAAAACAGAGTGGTAGGTGCTGGCAAATATTACTAAATGAGTAAATGCTTCTGTCTCAGTTCAGCAGTGTTCGTTTTATTTAATGTCTTAAACTAATTGGTGTGTAAAGAAAAGCTTTGGTTAAAGAAAAGTGAATCCTGCATAAAGCTTAAAATATCTACAGAAATTTGTGTAGAAGTAACAAATATCTTGTTACTCTGCCTTTTCATACAACTTTACATCTTATTTGTCATTCTACTAAATATAAGTATGCAGCTATTAACTGGGAAATAAGTATTTGTTATAGTCATAGTAAAAATTAACATTCACATTGTCTATCCTCCAATATTCATGGTAAAGTTATCAAGTGTGTTACAAAAATATAAGCTAAACAAAGAAACTGCCTTCCCTGTTCATTTTGTTTAAACAGTCACATATGGTGAAGGCCTGATTAGTATCGATCGCAGCAGCTTTTTTATTTTTCTTTGCAGAGAAGTCAAGATTTCAGACAAACAAGGCATTTCATTGAGGACGACAAAGATAACATTACTAACACGTATATTTTACCTCTACGTTAGATTAATTGTTCTTGCTCAAGTTTTATGAGGCATTAACCTATGCTAGGTTATCTAAGCATTAGCTTGCTAACTTGAGAGACATGTAGCTAATGACAAGCGGATTTGAGGATTAAAAATAATTTGTTGATTTTTCAATTTTTTTTATTTTACAAGTCACTTAAAATAAACTTACCGTGCTCTGTTCATTAAAATACTCTGCACAGTATTGCTCCCTGCTTTGTCTGTGCTGAAAGTGAAATTTAAAGTGAATGGCAATGACTTGAAAGTAGTCCGCATGCGCCCCCTGCTGGATACATTGTATTTTTACGCCTTTTGCAAGTAAGGACATGGCTTGTTCCCAGTGTATCTGTGCATAATGGGACAATTATCATTGATGCCGATATATTCCCAAACGCCTATATCGGCCCTACCGATATATCGGTCGGGCTCTAGTAGAACCTCTTATTTTTTGTAGTAATATAAAATATCTAAAACTTTTAGTTTGATTTTATTTTTATCTGTTTAAAACAGATTATACTGGTTCTGTTCTTGTAACAATTTACATTTGCCTGTTGTGTGTTCAAAAAGAAAATCATTTTTTTGTATCTTGGATTTATTCATACATGAAACGCTTTTTTAGTAAAAGTCATGAATGCAGCAGTGAATAGTATGAACCTCTAGGCCTGTCGCAATAAACAATAAATCAATTAATCGCATGATAAATGGAAATTGACCTCATTTTCACTTATCGGCTTTATCATTTCTTCGTGTCTCTCTCTTTCTACTGAAGACACTGGATGACAAAAGGCTCGACTCCGGTGCTCTTCACTGCCCCCTCCCGTTCTCTTTAAAATCAATTTTAACCGTCCAAAATCGCATTTTTGGATCGTTAAAAGCAGCGAAGCTACGAGCTAAGCTAATAGGCCGACCTAGGGGGAAAAAAACCTCTGTCTTGTCGAAGCTCAAAAATTCATGGTTGAAACTCGTGCCTTTTGTGTATAAAGTTGTTTTTCTCTGCAAAGAAGCTAAGAACTTTACTGATTTTATTTTATTTTTTATTAAAAGCTTTGTGTGAAAAATGCCAAAATGCCTAAAGAGCTCAAACCACATTGAGCGGCCGCCATTTTGAGAACCGAAGAGACGGCCCATGTCACGTCAAGGGGCCTCCCTCCCATTTTTCTTAAAGAGACACGTTGCTCGCTCCTTCACTATCCATCCTTCGTTTCAGTCTTATATTGCCATCCGGTGGTTGAAAAAAGGTACTACTGTACATACAAAACAAACTAACAAACATTTCTCCTTAAATTTGACAATAATTACTAATTATTGTCAAATTTCAAACAATATTATCGTTTATCGCAATAATTTCTGAGACGATTATCCCTCAGCAAAATTTGTTATCGTGACCGGCCTATGAACCTCAGTAACGTGGTAAAGATCAGTGAGCGCTACACCACATGGGCTTTAAGAATAATTACTCCTAACATCATTTCACGTATAAAATTTATTATTACGGTTTTGTTTATTCATCAAATAGATTACTTACTGAAAACTCATTGCCTTGCTCACAGGGGAATGAAAAAACATTAGCATGGTTGCGTTAAAAAAAGCTAAATGGTTAGCGTTTAACAAAGAGACGAGTCATGGTGGATCAAACTGTCTGACGCAGCAATATTGAAACAAATCTCTTCTTCACTCAGGCTGGACGGCAGGCATGTTGTCTTTGGCAACGTGAAGGAGGGAATGGACGTGGTCAAGAAAGTGGAGTCCTACGGCTCCAGGTCTGGGCGAACCTCCAAGAGGATCACGATCACAGACTGTGGAGAGCTGCAGTAGACGTTCACATCTGCTGTAATTTTTACAGACGGGTCCTTTCTTTATTCAAGACGCAGAGTACTACCTCGCTTTGACAAATAATGATCACTGGAATATGGCGGAATGAAAAGCTGTTTGTTTTCTTCAGGTAACGATGAGCAGACTCAACGGTCATGCTAAAAATAAAAAAATGTGAATTTATTAAGTTGTAAGTTGGTGGTTTTAGGAGAATAATTTGAAAATTTTGAAAAGGTGGCATTTATTTGGGAATAATAGTAATTGTGTATGTATGTGAGGTTATCTTGTATGTCAAACATCCCAGATGTGTTGGTTCTGAATTTACTGAAATAAAGCCAACTGAGGAAATGGTATTTAAATGCGAGTTGCTGCTTTTGGGAAATATTTCATCACTTGTAGACGTACAGTATAAGGTTGTCATTCCTTATCTTCTCAATCCTTACGATGACTCAGCAAAAATCACGTTCATTTTAAATTTGAGACAAAAACGCAAACACAAACCTCTTTCAATGCATTTTAATGCAAGAATACTCCATATAGAAATTTGTCAAGTGTTATTCAAGTTAAGGCACATTATATGGGATTATACATGTACTTTAAGTAGAAAGAATTGTACTACAGTAAAAAAGAGCAACAACTTCATGTAACTTTTCACTTCACACATTGACTCCTGACACCTTTCAGACTTTTCATCCAAAAATGATATCACCACCAGCACAGTCATTTTAGCACAGTGAGCTCAGGTGTAACGGTTCAACTGGTAGTAAAAATAAAATAAAAAATAGATTTTACTATATTAGAAACTATGCGTTCACAAAGAATTGTAGCCCTTCATGCATAAAGACTAGCTGTAATTTGGCTTATAAACTTCTCAAGTGTAATATTAAACAGAACTACATGGCTTCAAAATATATTCAGAAAGTAAATGTACCAACCAGTACTGATAATACAGACCCACAACAGAAACATGTTAGTAACACCAAGAACTTGCATATTTTATACAGAAAAACGAGCTTTACTGTTACTTTTCTAACATACAAACATGAGTATTTCTACCTTTTAAAACTTTTTTCTGATTTGTTGAATGTTCAGAAAACGCACAAAACCAAAGTTTCTTATAGTTCACAGCTGGTACGATTATTGGTTCTGAGTGACTTCACTGAAAAATACTGAAACGAGGAAGTACTCCTCTCCACTGAGATGTTTTCTAAAGAGCCTCTTCTTCTGAGCCAGGCTGTCAGAGAGGATATTTAAAAAGATGGTTTAGACTCGTCACAGTACAGAAGTTTTAGAAATTAAAATGTGCTTCTTTTTCATTAATCTTTGAAGTACATACATTAAGGGTGTGTTACTGCACACGTCGGCAGTAGTAGCCCAGGATTTTGCATTTCTCGCACAGATGCTGTGGATGCTCTTTGCTCTGGTCCGACACATCTAAGCCATCTGGTTTCTCCAGAGGTCTCTGAAACAAACACCAAGAAGACGAGAATGAACTTTTCAGATTCACACATGCAGCTGCTGGCACCTCAGAAAGTTTCTGTACTCAAGACTTCAGGGCTTTAGTGGACCATTAAGACGTTAGCATTTTTATGGTTGGACATAAAATTTAAAAACGGCTAGTTATGTTGTTTAATGTGCCCCAGATGTTGTTTTTGGACTTAGAATGATGGAAGAAAAGCAAGTTTAATTGAGAGAATGATGTCTGGATGACAACTGTTCAAGAAGATCTAAAAATAGAAGCAAAATCATCTTATTTTGTTTCATGAAGGACCCTGATGGTGTGGGTTTGGCCCTGACATAATCGATAAATCATAAAAGAAAAAGATGCCTCTTTCTACAATTAAACTATCTCAGTGGTTGTTTTTGTGTGTGGAAGAGAATCTTGCTAACATAAGCCTTACTAGGCACAACTCTTCTACAGTTAAGAAAATAAAAGCATTCGTAGTAGGGATGCACGATATTATCGGCATGGTATCGTATTGGCAGATATTGGCGATAAAGTTGAATATCGGATATCGGCCATTCCATCAAAATAACTCACCGATAGAAAAGGCGCTATATGTATGTATGTATGTATGTATGTATGTATGTATGTATGTATGTATGTATGTATGTATGTATGTATGTATGTATGTATGTATGTATGTATGTATGTATGTATGTATGTATGTATGTATGTATGTATGTATGTA